GAAGTTCCAGACATCAGGCGCAGTTCCAGACATCAGGTGAAGTTCTAGACATCAGGTGAAGTTCCAGACATCAGCCGATGTTCCAGATATCGGGTGAAGTTCCAGACATCAGCCGATGTTCCAGATATCGGGTGAAGTTCCAGACATCAGGTGAAGTTCCAGACATCAGGTGAAGTTCCAGACATCAGGTGAAGTTCCAGACATCAGGCGCAGTTCCAGACATCAGGTGAAGTTCCAGACATCAGGCGCAGTTCCAGACATCAGGTGAAGTTCTAGACATCAGGTGAAGTTCCAGACATCAGGTGAAGTTCCAGACATCAAGCGCAGTTCCAGACATCAGGCGCAGTTCCAGACATCAGGTGAAGTTCTAGACATCAGGTGAAGTTCCAGACATCAGGTGATGTTCCAGATATCGGGTGAAGTTCCAGACATCAGGCGCAGTTCCAGACATCAGGTGAAGTTCTAGACATCAGGTGAAGTTCCAGACATCAGCCGATGTTCCAGATATCGGGTGAAGTTCCAGACATCAGCCGATGTTCCAGATATCGGGTGAAGTTCCAGACATCAGGTGAAGTTCCAGACATCAGGCGCAGTTCCAGACATCAGGTGAAGTTCCAGATATCGGGTGAAGTTCCAGACATCAGGTGAAGTTCCAGACATCAGGCGCAGTTCCAGACATCAGGTGAAGTTCCAGATATCGGGTGAAGTTCCAGACATCAGGCGCAGTTCCAGACATCAGGTGAAGTTCCAGACATCAGGCGCAGTTCCAGATATCGGGTGAAGTTCCAGACATCAGGCGCAGTTCCAGACATCAGGTGAAGTTCCAGACATCAGGCGCAGTTCCAGATATCGGGTAAAGTTCCAGACATCAGGTGATGTTCCAGACATCAGGCGCAGTTCCAGACATCAGGTGAAGTTCCAGACATCAGGCGCAGTTCCAGACATCAGGTGAAGTTCCAGACATCAGGTGAAGTTCCAGACATCAGGCGCAGTTCCAGACATCAGGTGAAGTTCCAGATATCGGGTGAAGTTCCAGACATCAGGCGCAGTTCCAGACATCAGGTGAAGTTCCAGACATCAGGTGAAGTTCCAGACATCAGGCGCAGTTCCAGACATCAGGTGAAGTTCCAGACATCAGGTGAAGTTCCAGACATCAGGTGATGTTCCAGATATCGGGTGAAGTTCCAGACATCAGGCGCAGTTCCAGACATCAGGTGAAGTTCTAGACATCAGGTGAAGTTCCAGACATCAGCCGATGTTCCAGATATCGGGTGAAGTTCCAGACATCAGCCGATGTTCCAGATATCGGGTGAAGTTCCAGACATCAGGTGAAGTTCCAGACATCAGGCGCAGTTCCAGACATCAGGTGAAGTTCCAGATATCGGGTGAAGTTCCAGACATCAGGTGAAGTTCCAGACATCAGGTGAAGTTCCAGACATCAGGCGCAGTTCCAGACATCAGGTGAAGTTCCAGACATCAGGCGCAGTTCCAGACATCAGGTGAAGTTCCAGACATCAGGCGCAGTTCCAGACATCAGGTGCAGTTCCAGACATCAGGTGAAGTTCCAGATATCGGGTGAAGTTCCAGACATCAGGTGAAGTTCCAGACATCAGGTGAAGTTCCAGACATCAGGCGCAGTTCCAGACATCAGGTGAAGTTCCAGACATCAGGCGCAGTTCCAGACATCAGGTGAAGTTCCAGATATCGGGTGAAGTTCCAGACATCAGGTGAAGTTCCAGACATCAGGCGCAGTTCCAGACATCAGGTGAAGTTCCAGATATCGGGTGAAGTTCCAGACATCAGGTGAAGTTCCAGACATCAGGCGCAGTTCCAGACATCAGGTGAAGTTCCAGACATCAGGTGAAGTTCCAGATATCGGGTGAAGTTCCAGACATCAGGTGAAGTTCCAGACATCAGGTGAAGTTCCAGACATCAGGTGAAGTTCCAGACATCAGGTGAAGTTCCAGACATCAGGTGAAGTTCCAGACATCAGGTGAAGTTCCAGACATCAGGTGAAGTTCCAGATATCGGGTGAAGTTCCAGACATCAGCCGATGTTCCAGATATCGGGTGAAGTTCCAAACATCAGGTGAAGTTCCAGATATCGGGTGAAGTTCCAGACATCAGGTGAAGTTCCGGACATCAGGTGAAGTTCCAGACATCAGGTGAAGTTCTAGACATCAGATGAAGTTCCAGACATCAGGTGAAGTTCCAGACATCAGCCGATGTTCCAGATATCGGGTAAAGTTCCAGACATCAGGTGAAGTTCCAGATATCGGATGAAGTTCCGGATGTCAGTTGTCGCTACAGAAGAGCACTGGGTCGATGTAATGCACCTCACCATGAGTTTATCACCTAAGCAATCACTCGAAAAATCCGAAAGATATCAATGTTAGGCCTACTTAATTTATCACTCGAGCAATTATATAGTTGAAAGTGAATGAGTTTGACACTGGAGAAAGACAGATGTCAACCCTGCTTCTGTAATATACTAGCCACATAAAGAAACTGTGCATTGTCAAAATATTATCCCAGTTGATAAGTACGATAACAATGTCAAAGGTACATATAAACTTTAATGGAGGGATCATGAGACCATAACAAGTCGGGAGAATTTCAATTGAAAAGTCAATCACAATGACGTCACGAGTCCACAAGCGGGACAGGGGTCAAACGACCATGTCACAAGCTCAATAACGGGTATGTCCACCATCGGCATTGAGAACAGCAGTGCATCGACGACGCATAGAGCCTATCAAACGTGCAAGGAAGGCTTGTGGGATGTCACGCCAGATTCTCTCAAGTTCTGTTGCAAGGTCAAAGACGTTATCTGGCGGATGAGGAAGACGGCGTAGACATCGATCCATCTCGTCCCAAACATGCTCTATCGGGGAGAGATCCGGTGAATTTGCAGGCCAAAGCAGTAAGTCAACGTTGTGGTGTTGCAAAACATCCATAGCAACCCTTGCCGTATGAGGGCGGGCATTGTCCTGTTGGAATGTTAACCCAGGGCCATGACGTTGCAGAAAAGGAATTGCCACAGGTCGAAGAATCTGATCCCTGTAGCCCACACCAGTTAAGTTGCCCTGAACAATCACCAAAGGAGTTCTTTAGCGTGCTGTTATTCTACCCCAAATCATCACGGAACCACCACCAAAGCGATTCCTCTCCAAGACACAGGCCTGTGCATAACGTTCTCCCACGCGTCTATAGGCACGTTGACGTTCATCGATATGGGAAATGTTACACCTGGACGCATCTGTAAAAACAACAGTTCTCCACCAAAACAAGGGTCCTCGGACATGATTTCGGCACTACATTCGGCGAGCTTGTCGATGACGTTGTGTCAGGATAGGCCGTATGGCGGGACGTCGTGGTCTGATCCCGTGATGACGTAAACGTTGTCGAACTGTGTTGGGGTGGATACGGCGAAGTCCTGGGATGGTTCGGGCAGTCATCACTGCAGTCTGAAACCTGTGGCGAAGATGGGTCACCCTTATCCATCTGTCCTGTCTTGGCGTTGTTACGCGTGGACGTCCAGAACGTGGCCGATCGATGACGTCATTTGTGTTCTGGTAGCGTCCCACCAGTGCAGAAATGGTGTTCCGGTGGCAGTGGAAATGTGCAGCCACTTGTCGTTGACACATTCCCCTACGGACCATCCCAATGGCCTCATGACGTTGTGCAGACATGAGCCTTGGCATGCTATGCCTTTCAATAGCCGTTTAATGTTTTGAACGATCGCAAGGGCAGGGGTTGAGCTTTCCAAAGTGACAGTATTGTGTGGCATTCATATGCTCTGTTTCTCTTTCCCGGAATGCACGTGCAACAACGTATTGCACGTCTCAAGGACGAACCCACTGACGTCACGGAACGTGGCACGTGCATGCATGTTGGATACATGTCACTAATCTATGAGTTGAAATCCTTATTTGTCTACACAGGTTTGATAAATTTAGATTTTAATTTTTTGTATGCACAGTTTCTTTATGTGCCTAGTATAGTTATCACGTCGGCACAGACTCCAGCATGCTGAAAAACCTGCTGAAAATGTTGTGTTTTGGCATAAGCGAATATAGTGAATAAAAAGCACAGTCACCTTAAACACCAAGCTGTGGCTGAAGGTGTCTACTTCACGTGTACTGTTTGACACGCTAGTCTTATCCGGGGTTAAAGGCAATCAGGAAACGATATACATCAAGCAAAACAATTACAATTGAAAAACCCCATCAAACATATCTCAACAATATCTGCAGACAACCAGAAGCCATGACGCGTTCCTAGTCGTCCCCGCCACGAAGAGGCCACCGTTGCTGCCTCACCCCTCGGCTGGGTGGCATTGAGGGGAGATACACCTGTTCTCTCAAATCACTTTAACCCTTGCAGCACGGCCCAACACATGTATGCTTAAACCCTGTACACTACCCTCTCCCCGAGAACACATACCTGGTTACAGACATCTTCACTGACCAAGTGGCTCTTCATATTGGCACTGCAAGTGTTTGGGCTTGTCAAGAGCAGAAATAGACAGGTGACACAACTTCTCTTTTCGCGGCAGACGGAACAGCTGCCGTACAAAAACACTAACCAGTTGAACTGGGAAGATCCTTGGTAGAATAATGATTCAGGAGGAATCACCTCCTGAAAATGTGTAACAAGTAATTCCATTCTCTGATGGATCTCGTCTTCAGCTATGCATGTTTCTTGTATCAGCACAAGGGTTTATCGTTTTGAAGGGTCTCCATGTTCAGTGGCGGGACCGAAGTGTCAAGTGACGGGAGGGTGTCAGTGACGGGATGGAAGTGTCAAGTGACGGGAGGGCGTCAGTGACGGGACGGACGATGTCAAGTGACGGACGGAGGGTGTATCCAGGACGGACGACGGAAGGCCACGACGGATGACGGAGGACAGACGGACGCCGATGGACGCGACGGACGACGATGACGGACGGACGACGGACGACGACGGACGGACGACGGACGGACGGACGACGGACGACGGATGACGACGGACGATGACGACGACACGGACGAGACGGACGACGGACGACGACGACGGACGACGACGACGGACGACGACGGACGGACGGAACGGGACGACGGACGAGGACGGACGGACGACGACGGACGGACGACGGACGACGGACGAGACGGACGACGGACGACGATGGACGGACGGACGACGGACGACGACGACGGACGGACGGACGACGGACGACGGACGACGGATGGACGACGACGACGACGGACGACGCGGACGGGACGGACGACGACGACGGACGACGGACGGACGGACGACGGACGGACGGACGACGGACGACGGACGAGGACGACGACGGACGGACGGACGACGACGACGACGACGGACGGACGACACGACAGACGGACACGACGGACGGACGGACGGACGGACGACGGATGGACGGACACAGACGGGACGAGTGACGGACGACGGACGGAGACGGAGGACGGACGGACGACGGACACGACGGACGGTGACGTGGACGGACGGACGACGGACGACGGACGGAGGACGAGTGGTGGACGGACGACGGACGACGGACGGACGAGGACGGACGGACGGACACGACGGACGACGGTGGACGGGATGGAAAGACGTCAGGACGTGACGGACGGACGGATCGACGGTGGACGGACGGACGGAGTGTCAACGGACCGAGACGGACGGACGACGGACGAACAGGAGGACGGACGGACGGGGATGGTGGATGGACGAAATATGGATGGTGGTGTCGGAGTGACAGGGAGGGTGTCAGTGACAGGATGGGAAGTGTCAAGTGACGGGATGGAAATGTCAAGAGTCACGGGAGAATTGTCGGTGAGTATGGAGGGATGAATGGTGTCAAAGTCACAGGGATGATGGTGTCAGTGAAGGGTGGAGGTGTCAAGTTTCGGGAGGGTGTTAGTGACGGGATGGAGGTGTCAAGTGACGGCAGGGTGTCAGTGAGGACGGGGAGGGGTGTGTAAAGTGATGGGAGGGTGTCAGTGATAGGGATTGAGGTGTCAAGTGACCGGAGTGTGTCAGTGACGAAGATGGAGGTGTCATAAGATCGGTTGGTGTCAGTGACGAGGGCGAGGTGTCAAGAGACAGGAGGGTGTCAGTGACGGGGATGGAGGTGTCAATAGATCGGAGGGTGTCAATGACAAGGGGGAGAGGGAGATTTCAAGTGACCGGAGGGTGTCAGTGACGGGGATTGAAGTGTCAAGTGACGGGAGGGTGTCAGTGACGAGGGGTAGGGGGAGGTGTCAGGTGACCTGAGGGTGTCAGTGACGGGGTTTGAGATGTCAAGTGACGGGAGTGTGTCGGTGAAGAGGGGAGGGGGAGGTGTCAAGAGACGGGAGGGTGTCCGTGACGGGAATTGAGGTGTCAAGTGACGGGAGGGTGTCAGTGACAAGGGGGAAGGGGAAGTGTCAAGTGACGGGAGGGTGTCAGTGACGGAGATAGAGGCGACAAGTGACCGGAGGGTGTCAGTGACGATGGCGAGGGGGTGCTGTCAAGTCAGGAGGAGGGGATTGTCAAGTCAGGAGGAGGGAGGTGTAAAGTGACGAGGAGGGAGGTGACAAGTCAGCAGGAGGGAGGTGTAACGTGACGAAGAGGGAGGTGTCAAGTCAGGAGTTGGGAGGTGTAAAGTGACGAGGAGGGAGGTGTAAAGTGACGAGGAGGGAGGGGTAAATTGACGAGGAGGGAGGTGTCAAAGTGACGACAAGTCAGGGAGGGAGGTATAAAAGTGACGAGGAGGGAGGTGTCAAGTCAGGAGGAGGGAGATGACAAGTGACGAGGAGGTAGGTGACAAGTGACGGGCGGAAAGTGTCAAGACAAGATGAGGGAGGGGTATAAAAGTGACGAGGAGGGAGGTGTCAAGTCAGGAGGAGGAGGGAGGTGTAAAGTGATGAGGGAGGCGTTGAAACACGAGGGAGAGCAGTGACGTTAGGGAGGGAGGTGACAAGTTACGAGGAGGGAGGTGGAGGGAGGTGGTGTAAAAGGACGTGACGAGGAGGGAGGTGTCAAGTCAGGAGGAGGGAGGTGTAAAGTGATGAGGACGGAGGTGAGAAGTGACGGGCGGAAAGTGTCAAGTCAAGATGAGGGAGGTGTCAAGTCATGAGGAAGGCGTTGAAACGTGACGAGGAGGGAGGTGACAAGTTAGCAGGAGGGAGGTGTAAAGTGACGAGGAGGGAGGTGACAAGTCAGGAGTAGGGAGGTGAAAAGTGACGAGGAGGGAGGTGTAAAGAGTGAGGAAGGAGAGGAGGTGTAACGTGAAAAGTGACGAGGAGGGAGGTGTCAAGTCAGGAGTTGGGAGGTGTAAAGTGACGAGGAGGGAGGTGTCAAGTCTGGAGGAGGGAGGTGTAAAGTGACGAGGAGGGAGGTGACAAGTCAGGAGTTGGGAGGTGTAAAGTGACGAGGAGGGAGGTGACAAGTCAGGAGGAGGGAGGTGACAAGTGACGAGGAGGGAGGTGTCAAGTCAGCAGGAGGGAGGTGACAAGTGACGAGGAGGTAGGTGACAAGTGACGGGCGGAAAGTGTCAAGTCAAGGTGTATGCACGGACCGCGCCCACCATTTCATGGCCATTTACAAAGTAAATAGCACTGTAACAATCCAAGTCTTTATCTGGTCCATACCTGGCGTTGACAGTCACACGCGGTGTTTCTGTTTAAGCAGAAAAAATAATCTGCATAAACTGATGCAACTTTCAGGTGCACAACCGAATGTGAGTTATCATCCTATATCAGCAACTTTCTTGAAGGCGCTGACTTGCCAAGACTCTGTCTCTTATCAGTTACCTGCTCTCGTACAGTGGGTTACCCGTAACAGACATGGCCACAGTGCAATCAGCTGCAATCTGATCCCATGGTTACTTGTGTGATTAGATTTTGTTTATAATTACAAGGGTGTTCGCCTTGTTGGGCGCAAGTCAGGCAAATGTCAGCACCGTCATGTGGAGACGGGGGGAGCTACTCCGCCATGGTACGGCCACGCTCATTTCACATTTACATTAGAATATACAAACATATACTTTATACACAGACAGACACGGTCGGTATTGAAACCATATGCCAAAAGTGTGCCGTCTTGCTGAATGTCGACTCCACGCTAGAGGTAGGTTTAGACGCCGGGCTGAATATCTCGCCCGCAGACCTGCCTTGATCCTCCTGCGTCCTGCTACATTGAAGAAACAGTGTGGACCGCCTGACACCGCGTGTACTGGACCTGGATGCCCCGTGCAGCTCGCTGTTTATTGTCGACGGTTTTAAAGAAGGATTTCTCGGATTTTGGTCCAAGATTCGTCGTTGACATATTTAATGTGATTCCATCAGCAGGTGTACTTGATATGTATTGTCTCGGCTGATAATGTACGTGCTGACGGGACAAAACATGGCCGGCGTCCTTGTTAATTAGAAAGTGTGTAGTAATGGCAAACTCACAATTTATTACAACCGCAACAGTTTCTGCTCACAGGAGTCCATTAAACCAATATGCCGTCTGCTGGCAGCTGTTCTAATTAGAAGTAATTGCTGACTGCAGAGTTTAGTTGCTTATTCTTCCCCCCATACTTTCACGGACTATTTATCTACACAGTTCCGGGAGTTTCATTACAAGGAGTACCAGGTTGATACTTGTATGTGGTCTTTCATTACGGTGGGTAATCAACATTTGACGGTGTGTGATGTACTGCGGGGCGACTGGGGTCTGTTAGTGCTGTGCACAGCCACACGTTGAGTCAGCTAACTGCCCCCCCCTCCCGACCCAGGAATAAAGACCTGAAGCCAAGGGGATTAGCTGGAGATACCACTGTTAACAATCTTGTGACGTCATTGACAAATCCCACGAGTTCCAATTGAAAATGTGACAATGTGATTTTTTCAACCTAGAGTCTGTGATCTCCTTAGCCCGGGGTTTTTAATGGTCTGGTTTGTATTCTTGTTATTACTCACGAGGGTGAAAACTGAATGTACGAGCGTCGGTTTTCGCCACATGCAGAGCGTGAGGTGACCACGTATGTATACAGACGAGTGTAGATAGCAACTATGTCGTCACTGGTGGCGTCCCCAGGTAGCTCCATGCTATCCGTGGTCGTCATGGTACTGTATGCCTACCACACACACGGACGATTTGTACCTCAGGACAAAAGTAGCCTGCAGAATCGAACAGGTGAGTCTTTCACGTTCTCATTTATCATAGAAAGGGTGTTGTGGAATCTGATCATCAGGTTTCCAGTAGGTTATATTGCCAGAGAATGTATTATATCCAAAGAATGTATTATATCCCACCAAGTTGAACTATGACAGTATAGGCTGCTTGGTTGGTCGTGTTCGTCATTACAGCTACACCGGTCTTCCTGTACTTTCTTAACACACACATGGCGAATAATGTACTCCTACCATAGATCAACACCGAATAACACGAAGTCGCATTTAACGAACTTTCGGATTTAACGAAACCGTTCAAACCTTTGCTAAGTGGTAATGTAGACGTTATAGTGAAATACGTAATGTCGGACATAAGGATACAACAAGACTTGATCGTGTCAGGTTCGGTACATACGGCTTCGTAACATTCAAAAATTGACCCTTGAGAACAGCTTATTTAATGAGTTTGGGGACTGTTTCATCTGACCCTATACTCACATTAATGGACGGAGGGGCATCGTCTGTCTTAGAAGAACCGACACAAACCCATGTACTGTATAACACAATCAGGTCAACCAGGCCGGTTCAGGCCATTGGCCACGTAACACATATATCGTGTTTAGCCATTACTGTTCTGTGTTGGTGGTGAAACTCGAGCGGAGTTTGTTAGCCTTACAATGTAACTGTACCCCCTATGTCTGTGTAACTCTATGTGTTTTTATCAGCAACGTTGTTGAGTCAAATCACTCATTATGAGATGGTCATTCCCATGCTGGTGGACGAGAGAGGACACTTCCTTAGTTACGACGTCCGTCAACAGCACGTGTTCTCAAGGAGGCGGCGTGACGTCACTTCCCGTAGACGACACCGCCAGAAACAACGTCGAAGACGTCGCCCCAAGAGGCTTTACCTACAGAGATTCCCCGTGGAGGAGGAGGGGAGAGTGTTTTATAAACTCTCAGCTTATGGGAAAGAGTTTTATTTTAACTTGACTCTCAATACCAAGTTCATGTCCACACAGTTCGTCACTGAGATATGGGGGTCTAACAGTATTGAGCGCAAAGCCAACGAGGTCCACGACTGTCATTACACTGGATACAGCAGTTGGCCAGATGAGTCGCGCGCCGCCATCAGCAACTGTATGGGCCTGGTAAGTACTTACACTTGTGTCATACATCTAGAGTTATGCCATATATATGCTGAACAACCTGTCTGATTGATATTCTAACACAAACATGTTTTGTCTACACATTGTGCCTTAGTAAAATAATTAAAACTAACGACCGGCACCCAGCAAAGCACGCCATAGATTTTGTAGATTCCCTCACATCGCTCAGCGGTATCCTTACAGAACCATAACCCATGCAGTAGGAACTGCACCGAAATCCCCTCTCGCATACTAGATCCTGGTTGAATCTACACAATCTTCATGATGCGTGGAAACAGAATTTAATTGCGGTCTCAACCGTCAAATTAATTTTTAGCCAAAGAAGTAATGAGATTGCCGACTTCTCATCCTACTACTCGCCTGGTAGAAATAGTAGCCATGCTGGGAACTATCCAGTGTTACTACTCGCCTGGTAGAAGTAGTAGCCATGCTGGGAACTATCCCAGTGTTACTACTCGCCTGGTAGAAGTAGTAGCCATGCTGGGAACTATCCCAGTGTTTTCAAGAACTCTTCGTTCTCTCCATGTTTTACACATTTACTGGTTTAGTCAGGGGTCCCACGTTAACACCTTAACGTGTTGACTACAGGGGTCTCCCACCTTAACGTGTTGACTACAGGGGTCCCCACGTCTTAACGTGTTGACTACAGGGGTCTCCCACCTTAACGTGTTGACTACAGGGGTCTCCCACCTTAATGTGCTGACTACAGGGGTCTCCCTTAATGTGCTGACTACAGCTCCCTACAACGTGTTGGACTACAGGGTCTCCCACCTTAACGTGTTGACTACAGGGGGTCTCCCACCTTAACGTGCTGACTACAGGGGTCTCCCACCTTAACGTGTTGACTACAGGGGTCTCCCACCTTAACGTGTTGACTACAGGGGTCTCCCACCTTAACGTGTTGACTACAGGGGTCTCCCACCTTAACGTGTTGACTACAGGGGTCTCCCACCTTAACGTGCTGACTACAGGGGTCTCCCACCTTAACGTGTTGACTACAGGGGTCTCCCACCTTAACGTGTTGACTACAGGGGTCTCCCACCTTAACGTGTTGACTACAGGGGTCTCCCACCTTAACGTGTTGACTACAGGGGTCTCCCACCTTAACGTGTTGACTACAGGGGTCTCCCACCTTAACGTGTTGACTACAGGGGTCTCCCACCTTAATGTGTTGACTGACTCCCCTTAACGTTAACAGGGGGGGTCTCCCACCTTAACGTGTTGACTACAGGGGTCTCCCACCTTAACGTGTTGACTACAGGGGTCTCCCACCTTAATGTGCTGACTACAGGGGTCTCCCACCTTAACGTGTTGACTACAGGGGTCTCCCACCTTAATGTGTTGACTACAGGGTCTCCCACCTTAACGTGTTGACTACAGGGGTCTCCCACCTTAACGTGTTGACTACAGGGGTCTCCCACCTTAATGTGTTGACTACAGGGGTCTCCCACCTTAATGTGTTGACTACAGGGTCTCCCACCTTAATGTAATGTGTTGACTACAGGGGTCTCCCACCTTAACGTGTTGACTACAGGGGTCTCCCCTTAATGTGCTTGACACAGGGGTCTCCCACCTTAACGTGTTGACTACAGGGTCTCCCACCTTAACGTGTTGACTACAGGGTCTCCCACCTTAACGTGTTGACTACAGGGGTCTCCCACCTTAATGTGCTGACTACAGGGTCGTGTTGACTACAAGGGTCTCCCACCTTAACGTGTTGACTACAGGGTCTCCCACCTTAATGTGTTGACTACAGGGTCTCCCAACCTTAACGTGCTGACTACAGGGGTCTCCCATCTTAACGTGTTGACTGCAAGGGTCTCCCATCTTAACGTGTTGACTACAGGGGTCTCCCACCTTAACGTGCTGACTACAGGGGTCTCCCATCTTAACGTGCTGACTACAAGTGTCTCCCACCTTAACGTGTTTACTACAAGGGTCTCCTACCTTAATGTGTTGACTACAGGGGTCTCCAACCTTAATGTGCTGACTACAAGGGTCTCCCACCTTAACTTGTTGGCTACAGGGGTCTCCCACCTTAACGTGTTGAATAAAAGGGTCTCCCACCTTAACGTGCTGACTACAGGGGTCTCCCACCTTAATGTGTTCACTACAGGGGTCTCCCACCTTAACGTGATGTATACAAGGGTCTCCCATCTTAACGTGCTGACTACAGGGGTCTCCCACCTTAACGTGTTGAATACAGGGGTCTCCCACCTTAACGTGTTGACTACAGGGGTCTTCCACCTTAACGTGTTGACTACAGGGGTTCACCCACCTTAATGTGCTAATTTTTGTGTTGACTCTTCTTGTGATGGAATACACAAGTTAGTTTAATTATACAAAGCCAATTATAGGTGTTTCGTGACCTTAAAACACAAGCTAATTTAATGATACGCCGCCAATTAGGTGTCTCGTGACGTTAAAACACAAGTTAATTTAATGATACGCCGCCAATTAGGTGTCTCGTGACGTTAAAACACAAGTTAATTTAATGATACGCCGCCAATCAGGTGTCTCGTGAGAGACGTGTAGCTGGCACTGAACGGCATGACGATGGAGACGTGTATCTGGCACTGAACGGCATGACGATGGGGACGTGTATCTGGCACTGAACGGCATGACGATGGGGACTTGTATCTGGCACTGAACGGCATGACGATGGGGACGTGTATCGGGCACTGAACGGCATGACGATGGGGACGTGTATCTGGCACTGAACGGCATGACGATGGGGACGTGTATCGGGCACTGAACGGCATGACGATGGAGACGTGTATCTGGCACTGAACGGCATAACGATGGGGACGTGTATCTGGCACTGAACGGCATAACGATGGGGACGTGTATCTGGCACTGAACGGCATGACGATGGAGACGTGTATCTGGCACTGAACGGCGTGACGATGGAGACGTGTACCTGGCACTGAACGGCATAACGATGGGGACGTGTATCTGGCACTGAACGGCATGACGATGGAGACGTGTATCTGGCACTGAACGGCATAACGATGGGGACGTGTATCGGGCACTGAACGGCATGACGATGGAGACGTGTATCTGGCACTGAACGGCATGACGATGGAGACGTGTATCGGGCACTGAACTGCTGCACTAAGCGTACACGGCAGTGGTGACTCCCCTTTTATATCAGTGTGTATCGGGTCTAACACCGTCTCATACTCACAATTATACAGACAATTGTAAGTGCAGCGCGTTACGTCTATTTATTTGGTCTAGTGAACGCAGCTCGTGGCGCCGCTACTCCCCTTTGTTCACCGTTTACCCCACGCATGCTATGTACCTCGGCATATGTAGCATTAATGGAATAAAAATGAGGGGGTCAATGCTGAACATACTTGGGATGGGGAAGGGGGAGATGTATTGTAGTGAGGTATCGGTTGTAGCAGACGTGCAGACAGCTCCCTGCTAACTAGGTGAACATGTGGTGGGGCTGGAGTCTGGATGTGTGTGGAACAAGCTGGAAACAGACGGAATCACCTTCACACGGCGTACAACTGTTGGCTTGATATACATACTTGATTAGCGGTTATAGTTTTGTACTGTTTATGTGAGGCTTTTAATCCACGTTGTTTGATGTGGCCGTGTGACCTGGGTGTTAAGAGCTGCTGTGTGTGATCGCTGTGTGACCTGGGTGTTGGGAGCTGCTGTGTGTGATAGTCGTGTGACCTGGGTGTTAAGAGCGGCTGTGTGTGATCGCTGTGTGACCTGGGTGTTGGGAGCTGCTGTGTGATCGTCGCGTGACGTGGGTGTTTGGAGCTGCTGTGTGTGATCGTCGGGTGACCTGGGTGTTGGTAGAGCTGCTGAGCTGCTGTGTGTGATCGTCGTGTGACGGGTGTTAGGAGCTGCTGTGTGTGATCGTCGTGGGTGTTAGGAGCTGCTGTGTGTGATCGTCGTGTGACTGGGTGTTAGGAGCTGCTGTGTGTGATCGTCATGTGACCTGGGTGTTGGGAGCTGCTGTATTGTGATCGTCGTGTGACGTGGGTGTTGGGAGCTGCTGTGTGATGTGACGTGGGTGTTAGGAGCTGCTGTGTGATCGTCGTGTGACGTGGGTGTTGGGAGCTGCTGTGTGTGATCGTCGTGTGACCTGGGTGTTGGGAGCTGCTGTGTGTGTGTGATCGTCGTGTGACCTGGGTGTTGGGAGCTGCTGTGTGTGATCGTCGTGTGACCTGGGTGTTGGGAGCTGTGTGTGATCGTCTGTGTGTTGGGAGAGCTCGTGTGTGATCCTGTGACCTGGGTGTTGGGAGCTGCTGTGTGTGATCGTCGTGTGACCTGGGTGTTGGGAGCTGCTGTGTGTGATCGTCGTGTGACCTGGGTGTTGGGAGCTGCTGTGTGTGATCGTGTGCTGATCGTCGTGTGACCTGGGTGTTAGGAGCTGCTGTGTGTGATCGTCGTGTGACCTGGGTGTTGGGAGCTGCTGTGTGTGATCGTCGTGTGACCTGGGTGTTGGGAGCTTCTGTGTGTGATCGTCGTGTGACCTGGGTGTTGGGAGCTGCTGTGTGTGATCGTCGTGTGACCTGGGTGTTGGGAGCTGCTGTGTGTGATCGTCGTGTGACCTGGGTGTTGGGAGCTGCTGTGTGTGATCGTCGTGTGACCTGGGTGTTGGGAGCTGCTGTGTGTGATCGTCGTGTGACCTGGGTGTTGGGAGCTGCTGTGATGTGTTGATATTTTGGAAGCTGTATGATGTTGATCTGTTTGATGCGGTATGATGTTGATCTGTTGGACGCTGTATGATGTTGATCTCTTGGACGCTGTATGATGTTGTGGATGTTGCATTACATGCTGTGTGTTGTATGATGTTGTGGATGTTGCATTACATGCTGTGTGTTGTATAATGTTGTGGATGTTGCAATCCACGCTGTGTGTTGTATGATGTTTTGGATGTTGTATGACACGCTGTCTGTTGTATGATGTTTTGGATGTTGCAATCCACGCTGTGTGTTGTATGATGTTTTGGATGTTGCAATCCACGCTGTGTGTTGTATGATGTTTTGGATGTTGCAGGACAAACACTGTCTGTTGTATGAGTCACTGCTGATGTGTTGCCGCTGTAAGATGGCGGTGTTCTTTAACATCATCCTACCTGATCGACCAGTATTTATTTCACAGCTGATGTTGCCCTGGATTGTGTTTATGATGGGGAAACCTTCAGTTGCAGGTACAGAAGCCATCTCTGGTGCTGTGAGGTCGGATCCCACAGTTTACAAGCTACTAATCGCTGTTTCATGGAGCTTTACTCGCAGGCTAATTGTTTCCGGTCTAGGTAAAGGGGTGTCGCTGAAAGCCCGATTAGCTATAGACTACTATAAGCACCATCTCGCTGGTAGGTGAAGGACAGCGGTGTTGCACAAACCGTTCATATTCCTCTGCGGTTCTAGTTCCTGTTTGCCGGATGCAATGACGTGGATATCTCTGACATCATGGTGGAATCCCACTGAAGTTGGTTTCGCATTGCTTGCTACATGATCATGCGGTGTCTTTAGGTCTAAAGAACGCGGTTATCACCTTGGAGAAGGCGCTGTTGTGGATATCGACCTGAGCCATTCTGGAGGAATGGGCATGGCCACCTTGCAAGCGTTACGTTGTGCCGAGATTTATACGTCTTTTCCTCGAGATGGATATGAACTCTTTACACCTGCACTGACTAAAGGTTTCAAAAAACACATGTTAACCGAGGTAAGCGTTGTAACTGGATTTCACACATTGTCAGGGGCGGCGTAAATATTGTATGGCAGTATAAAGGACTGAATAGGGAAAATGTAGAGGTGACAGGTGCGGCATTAACGTCATATAACACCTATAAAGAGTGATGATAGGTAGGGCATTAAGGTCATATAACACATATAAATCCTGATGACAGGTAGGGCATTAAGGTCATATAACACATATAAAGATGATGACAGGTAGGGCATTAAGGTCATATAACACATATAAAGCCTGATGATAGGTAGGGCATTAAGGTCATATAACACATATAAATCCTGATGATAGGTAGGGCATTAAGGTCATATAACACATATAAAACCTGATGACAGGTAGGACATTAAGGTCATATAACACATATAAAACCTGATGATAGGTAGGGCATTAAGGTCATATAACACATATAAATCCTGATGATAGGTAGGACATTAAGGATGACAGGTAGGGCATTAAGGCACATAACACATATAAAGGTGATAGGTAGGCCATTAAGGTCATATAACACATATAAAACCTGATGACAGGTAGGACATTAAGGTCATATAACACATATAAAACCTGATGACAGGTAGGGCATTAAGGTCATATAACACATATAAAGCCTGATGATAGGTAGGACATTAAGGTCATATAACACATATAAAACCTGATGACAGGTAGGACATTAAGGTCATATAACACATATAAAATGACACATATAAGCCTGATGATAGGTAGGGCAGGAGCGGCATTAAGGTCATATAACACATATAAAGACTGATGATAGGTAGGGCATTAAGGTCATATAACACATATAAAGCCTGATGATAGGTAGGACATTAAGGTCATATAACACATATAAAGACTGATGATAGGTAGGACATTAAGGTCATATAACACATATAAAGACTGATGATAGGTAGGACATTAAGGTCATATAACACCTAGAAAGCACATATAGGAAGTACTTCCTGATGACAGGTAGGACATAAATGGTCATATAACATCATATAATAACCTGATGATTTAGGTAGGATATTAAGGTCATATAACACCTATAAACCATATCAACCCATGGGCCCCGAGGGACCAGTGAACAACGTATTTATCTTACCGAATTCCCTAATGTTAAAATTTATTGTTTGAATCACGGGTACAAATCTTTTTGCATCCATCGCTAGATTTTGCTGACAAAAAAAACAGATTTAGAGTTATCTCCCTTTCATCGATTTGCATACGCAAAATATCGGTCATTTCCGTTCATCATGTACGTGAGTCAATGTAATTCGAGGTAAAGAATTACTACCACGAAGTACCAAATGAGTTGCCATTGACAGCGGGGTACATTGAAATGTTACTCACTTGTAAGCGGGGTACAGTGAAAAAAATAGAAGAGCGCTCAGCCAATCAGAAAGCGACATTTATGTGTGAGGTAAGATAATATACCATATACTAGTTATAATTTGTTCACAGGGATTTGATCCGTCACTTTAACACCCCGTGGTAACAACTGGCGTACACGTGCTTAGTGATGACTAACAAGTCGAGGGACGCAGACAATCACCCTACCTGATCCGCCGGGTTTTGAAGCGTGTGTTGTAGAGGACTTTCAGCCTCGTGTACTGTGTCCATTATTTGGTGACAGTTGGAGACACAAATAAACAACCAAATCACATTAACATCCTGTGTTGCAGTACGGCTTCTTCTCGACGACCGACGACGATTACTTCGTTGAACCCCTGTGGAACCACACCAACATCGTGGGCGTGGAAGGCTACCCGCACATCGTGTACACCCGCTCCTCCCTCAAACTGCGCGACGACGACTCCCACTGCGGCGTCAGCGGTAACAACATCACTACCTTCTATGCATGGCTTTAATGGGGGACACTGTGGGGGACTGTAGATGCAGGATGGGTTGTTCATAAAACAATATGTTTGTTAATAAAACAACACGTCTGTTCATGACACAACACTTTTGTTCATAATACTACGAATTTGTTATAAGACCGAGCGTGTGTTATAACACCAAGCGTTTGTTATAAGACCGAGCGTTTGTTATAAGACCGAGCGTTTGTTATAAGACCGAGCGTGTGTTATAACACCGAGCGTTTGTTATAAGACAGAGCGTTTGTTATAACACCAAGCGTTTGTTATAAGACCGAGCGTTTGTTATAAGACCGAGCGTGTGTTATAACGTCAAGCGTTTGTTAGAAGACCGAGCGTTTGTTAGAAGACCGAGCGTATGTTATAAGACCAAGCGTTTGTTATAAGACCGAGCGTTTGTTATAAGACCGAGCGTGTGTTATAACGTCAAGCGTTTGTTAGAAGACCGAGCGTTTGTTAGAAGACCGAGCGTATGTTATAAGACCAAGCGTTTGTTATAAGACCGAGCGTGTGTTATCACACCAAGCGTTTGTTATAAGACCGAGCGTTTGTTATAAGACCGAGCGTGTGTTATAACACCAAGCGTTATAACACCTCCGGGTGTACCGTTGAGCTCGCGCAAACAGTACAATACACGTTATCTTACACCTGAATGTCAGATTCTGATTGGCTGAGACCATCCATTAATGTACCCGCTAACATGAAAGGTACATTTCTTATGTTCCCCGTACGCACTGACCGACTGTAGAAATTACATTTGCAACATGTCAACATATCATTTACGATTCACGATATTTTCTGAATGAAAGAGATCTAAATAACTTATAATAATGATAATAATGAAATAACTCTAAATTTGTTTCTGCCATGTGGTAATGCTGGATGCCTAGCGGCGGTGGTGTTTCCATGTCTTTATACCACGCACCTACAATACAGGTGCCAGCTGCCAAGAAGTCATTGGCCAACACCCGTTAGAGATCCGAGTTAGAACTGATCTTCAGTAACCCATACTTTCGTAAGAAGCGACTAACGGTGTCGGGTGGTCAGGGTCGCTGACTTGGTTGACACATGTCATCGTATCCCAATTGCGTAGATCGATGCCCATGCTGTTGATCACTGGATTGTCTGGTCCAGACTTATTTACAGACCGCCGCCATATAGCTGGAATATTGGTGAGTGCGGTGTAAACCTAAACTCACTCACTCATTGGCCAACTGTCCCACTGGTGGGATGAGTTGATGTACATATATGTGTATGTTCCACGAGTAACCTATGGCCCAATGCAACCCGTGCACATGCTGACTCGGAGGACGGCTAATACTGTAGGTACCACTCTGGAATCTGACTTTCCTTTCAGACATTCAAGATAAGAAAATGAAATGGCTACTCAACAAATCCCCACGAATTTTCAACGAGGTAGTAAAACACACTAGCTATGCCAAACACTGGCGTCATATAAAAAAAGAAAAGTTTCGCAAGGGTCGCCATAAACGCTCAACCAGCACCGACCGTGACGTGGAGACTGTTGTCGTCGTCGACAAGCGCATGGTCAACTACCACGGCCAGCACGAGATAGAGAGATACGTCCTTACTATTATGAACATTGTAAGTATATTTACGGTGATACAGAGACATACATCATCTCTATTACCAACATTGTAAGTATATTTACGGTGATACAGAGACATACATCATCACTATTATGAACATTGTAGGTATATTTACGGTGATACAGAGACATACATCATCACTATTATGAACATTGTAGGTATATTTACGGTGATACAGAGACATACATCATCACTATTATGAACATTGTAGGTATATTTACGGTGATACAGAGACATACATCATCACTATTATGAACATTGTAGGTATATTTACGGTGATACAGAGACATACATCATCACTATTATGAACATTGAAGGTATATTTATTGTTGATACAGAGACATACATCATCACTATTGTGAACTTTGTAAGTATCGTTACTATCCTATATATTTATACATGCATCCCTGGCCAAGAACGGAACGTTTCCCTCCCATGTACTTCCTGGCGTGTGTAGCACAATGTTTCCTAAGCAATATAGACTTTGTTTTGTTTCTTGAGGTCAGGTGGCCAAACTCTTCCATGATCCGAGTATCGGCAACAGCGTCAACATTATCATCACGCGCCTCGTGCTGCTCACTGAGGACCAGGTAGGACAGAGGACGGTCCTCGACACAGCGGCACTAGCATCACACACACGCATGCCTTGTTCAGAACATAATCAATGAAGCGCCTGTAAAATGTGACCGTTTCCTTACGAACCTGAGTGACTCTTACCTTGCACAATTACACAGTTACCTTGACTGATAAATTTGAGAATTCTACCTGTCTCGACTTGTCTCGATCAGATCACCGACAGGCACCAATATACTGACCCCAGCCCGGCTTTGAGAGCATGTACACTGACATTATCCACAGTGTGACATTAGGTGGAACGCCCACAGACTTCAGCTGTAATATTCACATGGAAAGAAATACCACAACTCCCCATATTTATGTTACCATTAACTTACCATAAACTTAAACCAGCACACAGATACCAATAACCGAGCACAATGCCAGTATAACCCATCCAAACATGCTGTTAGTAATAAATCATGAACTTATTATAGACTTTCGTCCGACCAGTGGACGCTTCCTGCTGACGTCAACTTCCTATGATGTCGAGCCTGACACCCAGCCTGACACCCAGCTAGTCGCGCTGCTTTGTGCTCGGGGAATAACAAAGGTCGTCTGATAGGTTCTCAATACACGACACAGTTTAAGCGATTTCAGACCATTTTGTTGGACAATCGACAATGTGGAAGCTACTCTGTATTAAACATGCCACTTCAAAAGAACGAATGAAGTCTTGTGATTCTGGAAAGTGATGTACCCTCCCCTGGAGTTGTCCCTAGTGGTCGACCTGAACGATGACGGTCTTTAACCACATGAGTGTCAATCGTTGCCTGATGTTGTCTGGACAATCGGCTGAGATTCCATGGATGACAATCAGCATCTTTTGCAATAGCCCTCAATTTCATGCCAGCATTCTGCATACCAATAACCTGCCATCTTTGAGCAGTTGTCGGTTGATGAGGTTCCATATTTACTTCTGGTGTCCCCCGCCGTGATATTGCTGGAATATTGCTAAAAGCGACGTAAAACTAAACTCAGTCAATCCATATTTACTTATCAACAACGAAATCAACTGATTTTCCAAGTCGTCGAACAATGTTAACAGTTTACTGAAACTTGATTTTTGCTTAATGGCGTGCACACGTATTGCACGTGATGTCCAACTTTGATCAAAGTACGTGCATGTCTATAATCAATGTTTGGTTCGCCCAGAGCATCAAAACACAATTATGGCTTGAATATAAATGGCAAAATGGGATTAAAACTCATATGTGTAGTCATGTGTATATTGTTGTTTGATGATGTCGAGACTGCTGATGTTGTGGCCTTGCAGCAGGGGCTGGAGATCAACCACCACGCCGACAAGTCACTAGACAGCTTCTGTAAGTGGCAGCGCGAAATCAACGTCAACCTCAACTACACCGCTGACGACGGCACGGGGATAGCACACCATGACAACGCCGTGCTTATAACCAGGTGAGGACAAAGATGAATGAAACATTTGACTGGCATCAATAGGGGCATTAGGGGGTGCCAGGTATGTCCCACACCAAGGCCAGATGCGGTAATCATGGGTTCGAATGCCAGATGTTTCGTTATTTTGATTCAACAAAGTAGAAATTGTTCACCACTTGCTTCAGTTATCCTGGGCTGTAGTCCGACATGATGCTGACAGACCCTGACATACCGGAAGTCATAGTTAAAACTGCGTACATATCCAGCTCACTCACCCCTGGCGTGGCAGGACGAGGGAAACTGAGACGTTCAACAGGGATACCTATAATCTTTCTTCTAGTTGGGAAATACATTTGGTCTTCGTTTTGGTGAAGAATACATTTAGTCTTCGTTTTAGTTGGGAAATACATATAATCTTTGTTTTACAGTACAACCAGAAATTATTGAGAATTTAAAGATTGTAAATGTTTTATTTTTTTCACTCATTACTCACGTATTAAATGTGAATATTAGCAGAAGATCACTCCAGATACAAAGACAGGCGAACAGGTAGTATTTGGCCAATCTAATAATGTCATATTTTGGGTCCGAAACCAGGCCTGTGAATGCTTTGAACGATGTTTTGGGTTGTTGTCCTGCTGGAAAATCCAAACATTTCCATAGAACACGTGAGCAGATGGAAGTAACTGTCCCTCAAGAATATCTGTGCACCGCTCACTGATCATACTCCCTTCAAATACACAGAGGGCGTTGCCCCTAACACAGATATGCCACCCCACACGTTAAATTTCGGACTGTACTTTGGGCGCTGATACAAAGGTTTTTCAGTTTGTTTGGTCTAGAATTTCAGTGTATTAAGAAACAGCCACACAGAACTTTCATCTGAGAAAATAACATTGTCCCAGTTAAAATTTCTATGCTGTAAGCACCAGTTCAACCTTCGCTCCTTTTGTTCAAATTTCATGATCGGTGATTGAATTCCTCGACTTTTCTGCCAACCCATTGCATGCAGCTCAGTTCTAATTGTCTCCTTACAGACAGCCACAGTTCCTCTATCAATCATATCCAGCCTTAAGTTTTCTAAACTCCTTCGTTTGTTTTTAGAAACAAGAATACCAAGCCACTTCCTGTCACCGACAGTCAATTTTCTGGGCCTACCTGCGCCTCCCTGGTGCTCAATGCCATATCCATTTGCAATATTTTTCAAAACACGATAAACAGTGGACAAAGGGATGCCTGTCCTACTTGAAAATCACTTTAGCTGATCTGATGTCCTTGTTATAATACTCTAAAATCAACTTCCTCTTCTCTAAATCATCCACACTGAGGATCACTGAAAATGTCGTCTGCTAGCAAGTAAACAAAGGGGGATAACTCTTCACAAACTAATGAAAAAGGATTAACGGAGTTGTCTCTCTTGAATGAAACCAAGCACTTGATAGCTGGTCAAGGCTGTTTATACTAGAAATCCAATTAAACATATTCCTAAAATTCTCAATAATTTCTGGTCATACTATAGCTGAAGAAAGCACCCAATAATCTCCGTACTAGTTAGGAAATACATTTCATCTTCTGTCTAATTTAAAAAACCCATTTAATCTTCGATCTAGTTGGGAAATACTTTTAATCTTCGTTGTAGTTGGGACATACTTTTAATCTTCGTACCAGTAGAGAAATACATTTAATCTTCGATCTAAATGAGAAATACATTTAATCTTCAATCTAGTTGAGAAATACTTATAATCTTCGATCTAGCTAGTTTGGAAATATTTCACATAGTTGGAGAAGACATAAAATCTCCTCTGGAACAGGGAAACACACCGACGTACAACTCAATTCACTTCCGTTTCAGATTCGACATCTGTACATACAAGAACAAGCCATGCGGGACTTTAGGTGCGTCTTTGACTCACACATGGGGAATAGATCTCATTGATGTAGAGTTTTAACGAAATGTAAATTCAAGGTGTAATAATTGATAGATACTGAAAGCAGGCATAATGTTGTCTTGAGATATGGGAAACTGGCTGCCAGTTGGGAAGGATTTTAAGGTTCTGTGTTTCTCTGTCTACGAGCAGGATTGGCGCCAGTGGCTGGGATGTGCGAGGACGACAGGAGCTGCAGCATCAACGAAGACATTGGCCTCGCCTCCGCCTTTACCATCGCACACGAGATCGGTCACAAGTGAGTTTGGTGCTTCCGGTGTCCTGTGATTGTCGTATACATGGTATGCGACAGTTTTGTTACGTTGTGTATATTGCTAGTTATACCCATGTTCTAACCTCATGTTTACTGCGACAGTTTTGTCACGTTGTTTATTGCTGGTTATACCCATGTTATAACCTCATTTTACTGCGACAGTTTTGTCACGTTGTGTATATTGCTAGTTATACCCATGTTATAACCTCATGTTTGCTGCGACAGTTTTGTCACGTTATGTATATTGCTGGTTATACCCATGTTATAACCTCATGTTTACTGCGACAGTTTTGTCACGTTGTGTATATTGCTGGTTATACCCATGTTATAACCTCATGTTTGCTACGACAGTTTCGGCATGCACCACGACGGTGCCGGTAATCCCTGCGGTACTCCCGGCCACGAACCTGCCCGTATCATGGCCGCCCAGCTAACTAAGGACACTGTGCCGTTCCTGTGGTCGAGTTGCAGTCGAGAATACATCACAAGTTTTCTTGAGTAAGTCTCTCCCTACACATATAGTTATTGTCAGTGTGTTGAAGTCGCCCGTTGCGATTACGACAGCTGACAGTTTGTGCCTGGGTGCCACCAGTCAGGATGTCCCCGGTTAACTCGGCTGACATCAGATAAAGTAGATTGTACCGGATCGGAAGCCATTAAGACCTACTTGATATGTTGACTTTCAGTACCGGAAGCCATTCAGACCTACTTGATATGTTGTGTTTCAGTACCAGAAGCCATTCAGATCTACTTGATATCTTGTGTTTCAGTATCGGAAGTCATTCAGACCTACTTGATATGTTGTGTTTCAGTACCAGAAGCCATTCAGATCTACTTGATATCTTGTGTTTCAGTACCAGAAGCCATTCAGATCTACTTGATATCTTGTGTTTCAGTATCGGAAGTCATTCAGACCTACTTGATATGTTGTGTTTCAGTACCAGAAGCCATTCAGATCTACTTGATATCTTGAGTTTCAGTACCGGAAGTCATTCAGACCTACTTGATATGTTGTGTTTCAGTACCAGAAGCCATTCAGACCTACTTGATATGTTGAGTTTCAGTACCGGAAGCCATTCAGACCTACTTGATATGTTGTGTTTCAGTACCAGAAGCCATTCAGACCTACTTGATATGTTGAGTTTCAGTACCGGAAGCCATTCAGACCTACTTGATATGTTGAGTTTCGGTACCGGAAGCCATTCAGACCTACTTGATATGTTGAGTTTCAGTACCAGAAGCCATTCAGACCTACTTGATATGTTGAGTTTCAGTACCGAAGCCTTTCAGACCATTCAGACCTACTTGATATGTTGAGTTTCAGTACCATAAGCCATTCAAACCTACTTGATATCTTGAGTTTCGGTACCGGAAGCTATTCAGACCTCCTTGATATGTTGAGTTTCGGTACCGGAAGCCATTCAGACCTACTTGATATGTTGTGTTTCGGTACCGGAAGCCATTCAGACCTCCTTGATATGTTGAGTTTCGGTACCGGAAGCCATTCAGACCTACTTGATATGTTGAGTTTCAGTACCATAAGCCATTCAAACCTACTTGATATGTTGAGTTTCGGTACCGGAAGCCATTCAGACCTCCTTGATATGTTGAGTTTTGGTTTCGGAAGTATTCAGAAGCCATATGTTGTGTTTCAGTACCGGAAGCCTTCAGACCAACTTGATATGTTGAGTTTCGGTACCGGAAGCCATTCAGACCTACTTGATATGTTGTGTTTCAGTTTCGGTACCGGTACCGGAAGCATTCAGACCTACTTGATATGTCGAGTTTCGGTACGGGAAGCCAATCACACCTACTTGATATGTTGAGTTTCGGTACCGGAAGCCATTCAGACCTCCTTGATATGTTGTGTTTCAGTACCATAAGCCATTCAAACCTACTTGATATGTTGAGTTTCGGTACCGGAAGCCATTAAGACCTCCTTGATATGTTGTGTTTCGGTACCATAAGCCATTCAAACCTACTTGATATGTTGAGTTTCAGTACGGGAAGCCATTCAGACCTCCTTGATATGTTGAGTTTCGGTACCGGAAGCCATTCAGACCTCCTTGATATGTTTAGTTTCGGTACCGGAAGCCATTCAGACCTCCTTGATATGTTGTGTTTCAGTACCGGAAGCCATTCAGATCCACTTGATATGTTGAGTTTCGGTACCGGAAGCCATTAAGACCTACTTGATATGTCGAGTTTCGGTACGGGAAGCCAATCACACCTACTTGATATGTTGAGTTTCGGTACCGGAAGCCATTGAGACCTCCTTGATATGTTGTGTTTCAGTACCATAAGCCATTCACACCTACTTGATATGTTGAGTTTCAGTACCGGAAGCCATTCAGACCTCCTTGATATGTTGAGTTTCAGTACGGGAAGCCATTCAGACCTCCTTGATATGTTGAGTTTCAGTACCATAAGCCATTCACACCCACTTGATATGTTGAGTTTCGGTACCGGAAGCCATTCAGACCTCCTTGATATGTTGTGTTTCAGTACCATAAGCCATTCACACCCACTTGATATGTTGAGTTTCGGTACGGGAAGCCATTCAGACCTCCTTGATATGTTGAGTTTCGGTACCGGAAGCCATTCAGACCTCCTTGATATGTTGTGTTTCAGTACCATAAGCCATTCACACCCACTTGATATGTTGAGTTTCAGTACCGGAAGCCATTCAGACCTCCTTGATATGTTGAGTTTCGGTACGGGAAGCCATTAAGACCTCCTTGATATGTTGAGTTTCGGTACCGGAAGCCATTCAGACCTCCTTGATATGTTGAGTTTCGGTACCAGAAGCCATTCAGACCTACTTGATAAGTTGAGTTTCGGTATCGGAAGCCATTCAGACCTACTTGATATGTTGAGTTTCGGTACCGGAAGCCATTCAGACCTACTTGATATGTTGTGTTTCGGTACCGGAAGCCATTCAGACCTACTTGATATGTTGAGTTTCGGTACCGGAAGCCATTCAGACCTACTTGATATGTTGTGTTTCAGTACCATAAGCCATTCACACCCACTTGATATGTTGAGTTTCGGTACCGGAAGCCATTCAGACCTCCTTGATATGTTGAGTTTCGGTACCGGAAGCCATTAAGACCTCCTTGATATGTTGTGTTTCGGTACCGGAAGCCATTAAGACCTCCTTGATATGTTTAGTTTCGGTACCAGAAGCCATTCAGACCTACTTGATAAGTTGAGTTTCGGTATCGGAAGCCATTCAGACCTACTTGAATTGATATGTTGAGTTTCGGTACCGGAAGCCATTCAGACCTACTTGATATGTTGTGTTTCAGTACCATAAGCCATTCACACCTACTTGATATGTTGAGTTTCGGTACCGGAAGCCATTCAGACCTACTTGATATGTTGTGTTTCAGTACCATAAGCCATTCACACCCACTTGATATGTTGAGTTTCGGTACCGGAAGCCATTCAGACCTCCTTGATATGTTGAGTTTCGGTACGGGAAGCCATTAAGACCTCCTTGATATGTTGTGTTTCAGTACCGGAAGCCATTCAGACCTCCTTGATATGTTGAGTTTCGGTACCGGAAGCCATTCAGACCTCCTTGATATGTTGAGTTTCGGTACCGGAAGCCATTCAGACCTCCTTGATATGTTGAGTTTCGGTACGGGAAGCCATTAAGACCTCCTTGATATGTTGTGTTTCAGTACCGGAAGCCATTCAGACCTCCTTGATATGTTTAGTTTCGGTACCGGAAGCCATTCAGACCTCCTTGATATGTTGAGTTTCGGTACCGGAAGCCATTCAGACGTCCTTGATATGTTGAGTTTCAGTACCGGAAGCCATTCAGACCTACTTGATATGTTGAGTTTCGGTACCGGAAGCCATTCAGACCTACTTGATATGTTGAGTTTCAGTACCGGAAGCCATTCAGACCTCCTTGATATGTTGTGTTTCAGTACCGGATATAATTTAGTACTACTTGACACGTTGAGTTTCGGTACCAGAAGTATTTTAGTACTAACAGATTAAAAGAGTATCAGCACCGGACGTCTTTCATTACTACTTTTTATGTCGACTGTCGAAAATGAGGGCTGTGGATTGTTGGACCGGGATGATGACGTCATCTTTCTATTAGGATTCTTTAGTGTGAATGCCACATGAAGGTGTGCACTTGTGTCCAATCCCTTTGCCTTTTGGGACGATTTAATATTTTAAAACATTCACCGACGTTTCTTCACAACGAATTTCTTTAAGAACGTTCTTTTGACCTCAGTGCCAGAATATCAATGTTTTTAGTGTGGCCATGTTGGAGGACATTTGCCTGGTGTGTTTCAGTTCAGGTCAAGCTCAGTGCCTGGTCAACAAGCCAGTAAAGCGGGAGTTCGTGTTCCCGCGTGAACTGCCAGGGGAGATAATCGGAGCTAACCGTCAGTGTAAGCTGCAGTTCGGAGCTCACGCAAGTGCTTGCAAGATCCGGGTGAGGCATGGTTGTACCTATTATGGGGAGGTGTCACGTAATGTGACTTGCGTTGTAACACTGCTAAGAACAGTGATCACGTTATGTCCGATCGTGTCTGCCTCACGTGGGGGAAAAGATGGTCCGCTCTGGTTTAATCCACGTACACCGGCATGATTCAAGGATCATAATAGGCGTAACTCTGGGATTCGAACCCATTACCAGCAGATCCTGATGTATAAACTAAATGGTGTGACTGGTGACTCGACACAGTGTTACATGGCAAGCCTTGACGTCCGTCGCTGTGGGTGTTCTTGTACTTCAGTACCTGAGTCGCTGATTACATACAGTTCTTAATGGTTGATAATTAGGCAGCTGGTAACTGCCCCGAAGCATGCAGCATTATACGCCAGCAAAGGTGTGACCCTTTATACGTTTGTGATTTTCAAACATTTATGACTTTCATTCGTCCATAACCTTCATACCTCTATGACATACAGACAACTGTGACCGTTATTCCTCTGTGAATTGGGCATATTTTTAACCCTAGTGATCTGTGACCCTTTGCGACAACAGGTGTATTACCTAGCTATCTCTGCCACAGCAGGTGTATTAACAAGTTATCTCTGCTACAGCTAGTGTATTACCCAGTTATCTCTGCTACAGCTAGTGTATTACCCAGTTATCTCTGCTACAGCTAGTGTATTACCCAATTATCTCTGCTACAGCTAGTGTATTACCCAGTTATGGATGTTACAGCTCATGCATAATCCTGTCTGCTACAGCTGGTGTGTGGCGAGCTGTGGTGTACGGACATCAAGGGTCAGTGTGTGACCAACAGTATCCCCGCGGCGGAGGGCACGGCGTGTCTCCTCTCCCACAAGAAGACGGGGGTAAGGCCACGCCCACGCACTGACTCTAAACTGGCTTCCTGCTGGGCTTGCCATGCTGTTTTATCCTCAAGAATATCTGAAAGTGTTTAACTATGTACTTCATACAGACAAACAGCCATTCAGGTGATAATTACTGACGTGATGAAAGGGTTAACATAATGAACCAAATACACCAGTAATGTGATATATGGTATTGTTTGTACATGTTTGCGTCGTTCCCCACAGCGGTGCTACAGAGGTCGCTGCCAGAACACTAACTACAAACCTAAACCTGTGGACGGAGGATGGGGGGCGTGGTCAAACTGGGGGAAGTGCTCCAGAACCTGTGGGGGTGGAGTCAACTCCAGCCAGCGGGAGTGTAACAAGCCAGCGTGAGTAGGCAATGTGTATGTCGTCAGTCACAACACAACCTCTAGTAGTTGTCACTGTGTATGTCGTCAGTCACAACACAACCTCTAGTAGTTGCCTCAGTGTATGTCGTCAGTCACAACACAACCTCTAGTAGTTGTCACTGTGTATGTCGTCAGTAACAACACAACCTCTAGTAGTTGTCACTGTGTATGTCGTCACTCACAACACAACCTCTAGTAGTTGTCACTGTGTATGTCGTCAGTCACAACACAACCTCTAGTAGTTGCCTCAGTGTATGTCGTCAGTCACAACACAACCTCTAGTAGTTGCCTCAGTGTATGTCGTCAGTCATAACACAACCTCTGGTAGTTGTCACTGTGTATGTTGTCAGTCACAACACAACCTCTGGTAGTTGCCTCAGCGTATGTCGTCAGTCACAACACAACCTCTAGTAGTTGCCACTGTGTATGTCGTCAGTCACAACACAACCTCTGGTAGTTGCCTCAGTGTATGTCGTCAGTCACAACACAACCTCTGGTAGTTGCCTCTGTGTATGTCGTCAGTCACAACACAACCTCTAGTAGTTGCCTCAGTGTATGTCGTCAGTCACAACACAACCTCTGGTAGTTGCCTCAGTGTATGTCGTCAGTCACAACACAACCTCTAGTAGTTGCCTCAGTGTATGTCGTCAGTCACAACACAACCTCTAGTAGTTGCCTCTGTGTATGTCGTCAGTCACAACACAACCTCTAGTAGTTGCCTCTGTGTATGTCGTCAGTCACAACACAACCTCTGGTAGTTGCCTCAGTGTATGTCGTCAGTCACAACACAACCTCTAGTAGTTGCCTCTGTGTATGTCGTCAGTCACAACACAACCTCTAGTAGTTGCCTCTGTGTATGTCGTCAGTCACAACACAACCTCTAGTAGTTGCCTCTGTGTATGTCGTCAGTCACAACACAACCTCTGGTAGTTTTCACTATGTATGTCGTCAGTCACAACACAACCTCTGGTAGTTGCCTCAGTGTATGTCGTCAGTCACAACACAACCTCTGGTAGTTGCCACTGTGTATGTCGTCAGTCACAACACAACCTCTAGTAGTTGCCTCTGTGTATGTCGTCAGTCACAACACAACCTCTAGTAGTTGCCTCTGTGTATGTCGTCAGTCACAACACAACCTCTGGTAGTTTTCACTATGTATGTCGTCAGTCACAACACAACCTCTGGTAGTTGCCTCTGTGTATGTCGTCAGTCCAACACAACCTCTGGTAGTTGCCACTGTGTATGTCGTCAGTCACAACACAACCTCTAGTAGTTGCCTCTGTGTATGTCGTCAGTCACAACACAACCTCTAGTAGTTGCCTCAGTGTATGTCGTCAGTCACAACACAACCTCTAGTAGTTGCCTCAGTGTATGTCGTCAGTCACAACACAACCTCTAGTAGTTGCCTCAGTGTATGTCGTCAGTCACAACACAACCTCTAGTAGTTGTCACTGTGTATGTCGTCAGTCACAACACAACCTCTAGTAGTTGCCTCTGTGTATGTCGTCAGTCACAACACAACCTCTGGTAGTTTTCACTATGTATGTCGTCAGTCACAACACAACCTCTTGCAGTTGCCTCAGTGTATGTCGTCAGTCACAACACAACCTCTGGTAGTTGCCACTGTGTATGTCGTCAGTCACAACACAACCTCTAGTAGTTGCCTCTGTGTATGTCGTCAGTCACAACACAACCTCTAGTAGTTGCCTCTGTGTATGTCGTCAGTCACAACACAACCTCTAGTAGTTGCCTCAGTGTATGTCGTCAGTCACAACACAACCTCTAGTAGTTGTCACTGTGTATATCGTCAGTCACAACAACACAACCTCTAGTAGTTGCCTCTGTGTATGTCGTCAGTCACAACACAACCTCTGGTAGTTTTCACTATGTATGTCGTCAGTCACAACACAACCTCTAGTAGTTGCCTCTGTGTATGTCGTCAGTCACAACACAACCTCTAGTAGTTGCCTCTGTGTATGTCGTCAGTCACAACACAACCTCTGGTAGTTTTCACTATGTATGTCGTCAGTCACAACACAACCTCTGGTAGTTTCCTCAGTGTATGTCGTCAGTCACAACACAACCTCTGGTAGTTGCCACTGTGTATGTCGTCAGTCACAACACAACCTCTAGTAGTTGCCTCTGTGTATGTCGTCAGTCACAACACAACCTCTAGTAGTTGCCTCAGTGCATGTCGTCAGTCACAACACAACCTCTAGTACACACAGGCTGGGATACTAAGAGGGACACATGGTTTACATAGGATGGCTGGATGGTTTACATGGAATGGCGGGATGGTTTACATGGGATTGCGAGATGGTTTACATGTAATGGCGGGATGGTTTACATGGGATGGCGAGATGGTTTACATGGAAGGGTGGGATGGTTTACATGGAATGGCGGGATGGTTTACATTTAATGGTGGGATGGTTTACATGTGATGGCGGGATGGTTTATATGGGATGGCAGGATAGTTTACATGGAATGGCGGGATGGTTTACATGGAATGGCGGGATGGTTTACATGGGATGGCGGGATGGTTTACATGGGATGGTGGGATGGTTTACATGGGATGACGGGATGGTTTACATGGAATGGCGGGATGGTTTACCTTGGAATGGCGGGATGGTTTACATGGAATGGCTGGATGGTTTACATGGGATGGCGGGATGGTTTACATGGGATGGTGGGATGGTTTACATGTAATTGCGGGATGGTTTACATGGGATGGCGGGATGGTTTACATGGAATGGCGGGATGGTTTACCTTGGCATGGCGGGATGGTTTACATGGAAAGGCGGGATGGTTTACATGGGATGGCGGGATGGTTTACGTGGGATGGCGGGATGGTTTACATGGGATGGTGGGATGGTTTACATGGAATGGCGGGATGGTTTACATGGGATGGCGGGATGGTTTATATGGGATGGTTTACATGGGATGGCGGGATTGCTGGATGGTTTACATGGGATGGCGGGATGGTTTACATGGGATGGTGGGATGGTTTACATGTAATGGCGGGATGGTTTACATGGGATGGTGGGATGGTTTACATGGGATGGTGGGATGGTTTACATGGAATGGCGGGATGGTTTACATGGGATGGTTTACATGGAATGGCGGGATGGTTTACATGGGATGGCGGGATGGCTGGATGGTTTACATGGGATGGCGGGATGGTTAACATGGGATGGCGGGATGGTTTACATGGAAGATTTCACAGTTTGCACAATGATATTACTGAACAGTTCTTTGATTTTTAACACATTGGGAGTTTTAAGACGGGTTGGAGGTTTTACGAGTCACGACATTGTTTATGTCTTGATTTAACAAACATTACAATAAGATATTTCTGAGGTTTAATTTAACATTTTATCTTTTGTGAATATGGATTAGTCTTCCGAATCCATCGATAATCGCTGAAGCCAGCGAGATCTACTAGCTACAAACCGGGTTGGATCAGGATCTACTAGTTACAGACCGGGATAGATCAGGATCTACTAGCTACAGACCGGGTTAGATCAGGATCTACTAGCTACAAACAGGGTTAGATCAGGATCTACTAGTTACAGACTGGATTACATGAGGATCTACTAGCTACAAACTGGGTTAGATGAGGATCTACTAGCTACAGACCGGGTTAGATCAGGATCTACCAGCTATAAACTGGGTTAGATGAGGATCTACTAGCTACAAACTGGATTATATCAGGATCTACTAGTTACAGACCGGGTTAGATCAGGATCTACTAGCTACAGACTGGGTTAGATGAGGATCTACTAGCTACAGACTGGGTTAGATCAGGATCTACTAGCTACAAACTGGGTTAGATGAGGATCTACTAGCTACAAACTATGTTAGATGAGGATCTACTAGCTACAAACTGGGTTAGATCAGGATCTATTAGCTACAGACCGTGTTAGATCAGGATCTATTAGCTACAAACTGGGTTAGATCAGGATCTACTAGCTACAGACTGGGTTAGATCTGGTTCTACTAGCTACAAACTGGGTTAGATGAGGATCTACTAGCTACAAACTGGGTTAGATGAGGATCTACTAGCTACAGACTGGGTTAGATGAGGATCTACTAGCTACAAACTGGGTTAGATCAGGATCTACTAGCTACAAACTGGGTTAGATCAGGATGTACTAGCTACAGACTGGGTTAGATCAGGATCTTCTAGCTATAAACTGGGTTAGATGAGGATCTGCTAGCTTCAAACTGGGTTAGATGAGGATCTACTAGTTACAGACCGGGTTAGATCAGGATCTACTAGCTACAGACTGGGTTAGATGAGGATCTACTAGCTACAGACTGGGTTAGATCAGGATCTACTAGCTACAGACCGGGTAAGATCAGGAACTACTAGCTACAAACTGGGTTAGATCAGGATCTACTAGCTACAGACCGGGTTAGATCAGGATCTACAAGCTACAAACTGGGTTAGATGAGGATCTACTAGTTACAGACTGGGTTAGATCAGGATCTACTAGCTACAGACCGGGTTAGATCAGGATATACTAGCTACAGACCGGGCTAGATCAGGATCTACTATCTACAAACTGGGTTAGATCAGGATCTACTATCTACAAACTGGGTTAGATCAGGATCTACTAGCTACAGACCGGGTTAGAAGAGGATCTACTAGCTACACACTGGATTAGATCAGGATCTATTAGCTACAAACTGGGTTAGATGAGGATCTACTAGTTACAGACTGGGTTAGATGAGGATCTACTAGCTACAAACTGGGTTAGATGAGGATCTACTAGCTACAAACTGGGTTAGATGAGGATCTAGTAGCTACAGACTGGGTTAGATCAGGATCTACTAGCTACAATCTGGGTTAGATCAGGATATAATAGCTACAGACTGTGTTAGATGAGGATCTACTAGCTACAAACTGGGTTAGATGAGGATCTATTAGCTACAGACCGGGTTAGGTCAGGATCTACTAGCTACAGACCGGGTTAGAT